TAGTATTTACCAAAAAATTGCAAAAAATATATTAAAAACAGAAAGAACAACCATAAATTAAAAAATGTTGAAATGAATAAGAAAAACACTGGACATACGTTATGAGACATAACAGATTATGAGTTGTTGAAATCCTTTGGAAATATGTCCTGTGATAAGATGCATGTGAAATTTTTAAAATATATTCTGGGTGTACACAAAAAAACATCAAATGAGGCAGTATGCGGTGAACTAGGACGGTATCCACTATTTATTGATGTAATATGTAGTTATGTTAAGTTTTATCAAAGACTGCTAAGTGGAAATGTTAGCAAATTACTATCTGCTGCCTTTATTGAAAGTCAAACATTATTTACGGATAATAAAGTTTGCTGGGTTTCTTGTGTACAACATTGTTTTAAGCATTTAGGTATATCTGATGCTGGTTTAACCAATAAGAACTTAGTAAATGTTGTTAAACTCAAGTTAGTGAAAATGTACCAAACCAACTGGTGTTTGAATATCTCAGGTACTGAAGGGAAACTTAGAACATACTCTTTGTTTAAACAAAGGTTTTGTAGAGAACTGTACTTTAGACATATTAAGGACAAAGATATAAGAACTTTCTTCACCAAGTTTAGAGTAAGTGCACACAGATTGAATATAGAAACAGGCAGATATAAAAAGATCCCAGTAAATCAAAGGTATTGTAACTGTTGCTCTTCCAATCTTGTAGAAGATGAAATTCATTTTTCCATGTGTTGTACAAAATTTGATAGTAATAGAGAACTACTATTTAGACAAATTGAAATATCAAATAAGAACTTTTGTATGTTGAATAATAAGCAGACATTTGTTTGGTTAATGTCCTCGGAAGACCCTAGAGTCTTGAATGTCTTTTCTAAATACCTACTCGAAATTTATAATAAAAGAAATCTTATGTTAGGTAGTACTATTAGTAATAAAAATTTGTCAGACCATTGAATGTATATTATTGTACTTGAATATCGAATGAGTAATTAGTGTTTTTTGTTGTTTTTTTATTTTTTTTTATTTTTTTTTTTAATACTGTTTTATTTATTTACTTCTTATTTTAACATTACTATGCCTGTGTTATTTGTTTTTTGTTTGTTTTTTTTCCAATAATACGAATTAAGCTTTAGTTACTTTATTGTCTTCATTTCTACCATACAATACACAATTTGTTGGTTGATATATTTTGTTTCATGCCTTATGTTTTATGCTTGTGATTATATATGTCATATAGTATGACCCTTGATTGGTGAAATAAAATTATTCTATTCTATTCTATTCTACGTTATCTCGATCTTACAACACGTAAGGCATTTAGACATTATATAACCGTTCACCCTATTGCGCTATAACGGTCAGTGTAAACAAGATTAATTTATCCACATCTGACTGCGTACATCTCACGGAATTTACCGAACATTTATCGAATATTGATTGACCGGAATTAACACATACCGCTTATGTCACGTGACAAATACGATATACTAACATATTTTGCCTGCTATTAAAATATCCTTATTTTTATCATATTCGTGGGAAAATGTATTATCCTTATAGCGCCCATGTCCTCTGACTGTCATGTGCTTGACAGATGAACAAAATGCCTCTTTTTAGCTCTCCTGTCACAAAGTGACAGGGTGAGCTTTTGTGATCGCTTTTCGTCCGGCGTCCGTCCGTCCGTCGTCCGTCCGTAAACTTTTACTTTAAATGACATCTCCTCATAAACCACTAAGCCAATTTCATCCAAACTTCACAGGAATGTTCCTTTGGTGGTCACCTTTAAAAATTGTTCAAATAATTTAATTCCATGCAGAACTCTGGTTGCCATGGCAACCGATAGAAAAAACTTTAAATATCTTCTTTTAAAAAAACCCAAAGAGCTGGAGCTTAGATATTTGGCATGAAACATCTTCTAGTTAGTGTCTACCAAGTTTGTTCAAATAAAAGCCCTGGGGTCAAAATTGGCCCCGCCCCAGGGGGTCATTGATTTTCCCTATATACATATAGTAAAAACTTAAAAATTCTTCTTTTAAAGATCCCACGGAGCTAGAGCTAAGATATTTAGCATGAAACATCATCAAGTAAGTGTCTACCAAGTTTGTTCAAATAAAAGCCCTGGGGTCAAAATTGGCCCCGCCCCTGGGGTCATTGATTTTCCTTATATGTATATAGCAAAAAACTTAAAAAAATCTTCTTTGAAAAAACCCAAATAGCTAGAGTTTAGATATTAAGCATGAAACATCTTCTAGTGAGTGTCTACAAAGTTTGTTCAAATAAAAGCCCTGGGGTCAAAATTGGCCCCGCCCTGGGGGTCATTGATTTTCCTTATATGTGTGTGGCAAAAACTTAAAAATCTTCTTTGAAAAAACCCAAATAGCTAGAGTTTAGATATTAAGCATGAAACATCTTCTAGTAAGTGTCTACAAAGTTTGTTCAAATAACAGCCCTGGGGCTAAAACTGGCCCCGCCCCAGAGGTGTCATTGTTTTTAACTATATGTGTATAGTAAAAACTTAAAAAAAACTTCTTTTAAAAAACCCAATGAGCTAGAGGTTAGATTGCAGGAAACATCTTTTTGTGGGTGTCTACCAAGTTTGTTCAAATAAAAGCCCTGGGGTTAAAATCGGCCCTGCCAAAGGGGGGGGGTCATTGTTTTTCATTATATGTGTGTAGTAAAAACTTAACATCATGAAACATCTTCTAATGAGTGTCTTCCAAGTTTGTTCAAATAAAAGCCCTGGGGTTTAAACTAGCCCTGGTCCGGGGGCCTAAATACAGGTGAGCGACCTCAGGGCCATCATGACCCTCTTGTTTAAAATGGTTTAGTGGGATGTACCTTTCCAGAGTAGCTTATTCACCCTTTTATGAGTACATTGTATTACTGTATACATTACTTAATGTCTGGAATATGATATAAAACCAAGAGCGACTCGTCAATTCCCAGTTACGCAGTACCACGTACATAACAGTACAAATAGACCGAGCATTTTCGATTTTAGCGTGCATGTTACAAGACTGTAGCAGTATCGGATGCGTATTAAGGTCAGACACTCACATTGATATTTCCATAGACTTACATTATAAAAGTATCATTCATCAGTCATTTAAAACTTTGAAGTTCCCTTTTTTGTAACAAGCGCCGTTATGCCGCATTCCGGATATTCTGAAAATGAATTTTAGCATGTGATTTTTATACTTAACTCATTATTCTGAAGCCAATTTTGTAACAACTTCCAAAAAATCACAGAGATAGCAAAACTACACTGTTCTCATTACAGAAGTGCTTCAAAATACTAATTTTGTAACAAAAGGATGCAGCAGGGAGCAATTTTATCACCCCACCCATAACAAAATAAGTGATTTTTCACCCAAATTTCAACATTTTATTACCAATAGACTTCCTGGATGAAGATTTAGCTTAGCAAACATACTTAATAACTACTGTATAATGACCTGAATATGGATTACACATTATTTGTACACACATAGCAACCTTTTGGGTGTAACTAGGTATTTCAAAACTGCCCTGCTATATTTTTCTACTCCAAATATTTGCATATATAGTCTTAAATACAAGCCTAAATGTCAATAAAATGCCAAAATTCTTTATATATTTTTTGTCTCTCTCTTACATGGATATAAAGAAATGCAATATATGGAAACACCAAGTTCTTCTGGATTTAACAGCACAGTAAAAGCCTAAAATTTGACTTCTACACCCATTTTTTGGTCATTTTTGCATTTATTTGGAGTCAAATATGACAATTGAAACCTTCTTTCAGGTGTTTTAACATGTAAATCACCTCTTCAGACCAAAATGTACTTGGAATGGACAGTAATGTGTATTTTTTTTGTCATTTAGGTAGCCAGAAACTAGAATTTATGCACTTATCTAAGTTTCTCAATAAATAAAGGGAGGTAATTCACTGAAGTTGTGCATAATCACACCCTTTTTATACATTTATCTACCAGAATAAGTGCCTTTTCTGTTTATAGACACATCACAGACACTAAAGCTGTGTTATAATTGTGCCTGGTATGAGTGTGAAAAAGTAGATCAACTTTTACTTATCAATAAAACTTTTCTACAAAATAATTCTACCCTTGGCCATTATGATGCACATTCAATTATGAATTAAACAGACATAAAGTCTAAAAACTATGGCATTATACAATTCTGAGTGTGTAAATATGTATTACCAAATAGAAAACAATAAATTCTTATCACTATTTTGCATCTTAACCACATAATAAGAGGCTATTCAGAGGCAACCTAACTGAATTATGCTACATTTTTCAATGGATTTCAATTTCTAAGTATGTGTTGATATTCATGCCCTGAAACCGAGTAAATTTTAAGAAGCCTTAAAATGCTATTTATTTGAAGCTTTAATGCTATCTATGCCTGGAAATGAAACACAAAACATTCTTATATAGGAAACAGACAAAAAAGCAATTTATTTGTGACATTCTATTTAAATATTTGAGCAAAATGGTAAACATTAGTGCCGAGCGAAGAAATTTCCGCCCCTAAATAAAGTCGAAAAGTTAATCGAAACAGCACCCTAAACTTTTTTAATTATTATATATCAGTTTTGAACCTGACAAGATGCATTTGTAATGATATACCTGCAACACCCATCAAAAGTGGCCAATGTGCTTACATCAGGTCCTGTCAAGTTATACATGAAGTCTTCAAACCTGGCATGTGTATAGCCAATGTACAGCATTTCTTTGAAATCTGAAAAAATATTGTTAATGACCAAGGTCTACATTATTCATCATCAACATACCACCAATTGATTATCACTCAAATTCACTGTTCAAAGAAAATATAAACCATTATTAACTCTTATGTAACACTAATACTCTTGTTCATATGATATGTAAACAATGCTTGTAGATTGACCCCTTTGACACATTATCTGCTGTAAACACCAACAGTTGCACTGAAATAATGAAATTTCATACCTAGACAGGCTGTAAACATCCATTCTTCCAAAATATCAGCTTTTCATGGTGTAATCAATGAAGACAAAGTACTACTGTGAATTATGACAGTTCCAATTTCCCTCTCTTTAGGTCAGACACTCACATTGATATTTCCATAGACTTACATTATAAGAAATGGTCCCATATCCTACCTTAAAATTCAGTTTTCATGCTAAAGAGGTATTTTTTCTAGCAGAATGAAATGCCTGGCCTGTTATATAGGGGTAGCCAACCAAATGTTTTGCAAAATGACTTCAAAGAGGATTACCCCCCATTTCTTTGAAATTTTCTGCTGATCACAAGACTGACATACACTTTTTATAAATGCAAATATCCAAGTCAAAATTATCACAGAGACTCATGAAATATTTCATTTTCTTCAGAAAACATTGTAGTGTTACTTTTTAAATTAGTTTTTATACTTAAAAATACCCCACTTTTATCCAATCGCCTCATGTATAAACTGAATCATACGGTTTTCCCTGCACTTTTTTTTCAGCCAATCGCTGGCCGTGTTACAATGCGATACCCTGACCTAAAGGTGATTCCGCTTTGTCAGCCATGTTTGTATTTCACTCAAGTCTGTTCAAAGTGAAAGAAGGCCAAAATTCATATAAAAACAAAGCTCTTATTGTAAAATGATGAACCATTTGAAAGTATACTTCCAGGTTTATATTTTAAGGACAATTATAAACAAAAATAAAAATGATAACAATAAGAATATTTACCTTGAATGTGCTACATTTCTGAAGACCAAAAACATTCTGTTGCAAAGTTTTAAGCACATTTCATGAATGGCAAAATCCTTTTTAAAGTCTCTTTTAGTGCCTACAAAAGCTATTTTTTGCAGCAAATACAAAAATCTTACAAAACTTAACTCCAAATAAATCCTTATCTCATGTCCTTCTAAGCACATGGCCTCCATTATTTTTTGTAAAAAAGTAGTGCAAGAAAACAATCCTCATTTATAACCTTATGAACTTCAATTAAATTGAAAACACAATCGAACTTTAAAATCTAACCTTTTTTATGTGTAACAGTGAAGTGTGTCTGTTTGTCATGTACACAAGAAATAGGTAAATGATGTTTATTTTCATGGTACTACTTTTTTACACATGTCATGGTGGCCATGTTGTTTCAAGGTCAGATAAACTACTTTCCTAAGATTTATGTTTTTTAAAGTTTTTTTGTATTTTCTGCAAAAAATAGCTTTTGTAGGCACTAAAAACAGACTTTAAAAAGCATTTTGCCATTCATGAAATGTCCTAGGGTTAGGGTTAAATCGTTTTGTATATTTTCTCCATCAGTGCAAATGGAAATTTTAAAACAAAGGGACGTAACTTTGTAAACTGAATCCGAACCTCAATACAGACTTTACCGAGAGAATATAACTGTAGCGCCACCTGTTAGCATAATTTGGGTGTCACATATTATTACACCAGATGTCGCGTTGTATTATGCTTGCTGCATTCGGCTTTCGGCTATGCGCATTCTACCTTATGGCATTCGTCGTAAATAGACCCAAATACAAACAGTTGCAGGTTAATTTATTGAATTAATATACCAGATCAACAAATGAATAATAATTGATCGTTAAATAACGACATCAACATAAAATTAAGCAAGTCGCACACAGCAGAAAGCATAATGTGCATGTAAGAAAGCAACATGTAAAAGTCAGAATGCAAGATGTATATGTCAGAATGCATAATATACAAGTTAGAAAGCACGATGTACAAGTTAGAAAGCACGATGTAACGTAAGAAAGCAAGATGTAATTTTAGCATAAATAACCCTCCATAATCAGGTCAGTAACTGAGTATTTATGCATAGCATTATGTCATATTCGTCGTGTTCGTACATAATCGAATTATAACGGGAATTGCCGAGCAGTCTTTGATTGAATAGATTTTATAATACTGCACGTTTGTAACGTCATTTTTCATTGGATAATCGTGACGTCTATATAGTTTTATATACACGGCTGCTGTCGATTCATGAAGAAATCTTACTTTTTTCTCTAAAAATGATGTCTGTTGTATTATAAATTCGTTATAAAGATTGTTGACAGGTTATATGGCCATATATAAACGCCTGTTTGCAATAAAACCAACGTTATATAACCGAATTTTTTGTGTCTGTCAGACTAGACAGTTTTGACATTTAATTTTATTTTTTCTCAGAATCAGCTGATTTTGGCAGCAGTTCCTTCAGTTTTAAGCTGACACTGTGAACAAGAACCTGGGCCGTATTCATAAAGCATCTTAGTGAATAATTTCAACTTAGTGAAAAAAGACATTTTTTGACAAGTTGAATTTAAAATATCTAACGTGTGTACAAAATTAGTTTGAAAATAGGCAAGAAAATGTCCTAATTAATAAAAACATTTTAAAAATATTGTGGATGGTCACAGGTATTGGAAATAAGCCATTTCAAAATTTAAGAACTTTTCAAGAGGATGAAATATTTTAATAAGAAGTTTTTTATGGCCAAAGCACTTTGAACAATGTTGAACAACTGTTCTATTTCATAATTATTTTGTTGATGAAAAAAAAAATTCTAAAACCATTGATTTGGAAATGTGCAACTTGTCATTGTCAGCTGGAAATGTAATTTGACTACAGAGTTTCATTAATAGAAATAAAAATTGGTTAAATCGTTTTGTATAGTTTCTCCATCAGTGCAAATGGAAATTTTAAAACAAAGGGACGTAACTTTGTAAACTGAATCCGAACCTCAATACAGACTTTACCGAGAATATAACTGTAGCGCCACCTGTTAGCATAATTTGGGTATCACATATTATTACACCAGATGTCGCGTTGTATTATGCTTGCTGCATTCGGCTTTCGGCTATGCGCATTCTACCTTATGACATTCGTCGTAAATAGACCCAAATACAAACAGTTGCAGGTTAATTTATTGAATTAATATACCAGATCAACAAATGAATAATAATTGATCGTTAAATAACGACATCAACATAAAATTAAGCAAGTCGCACACAGCAGAAAGCATAATGTGCATGTAAGAAAGCAACATGTAAAAGTCAGAATGCAAGATGTATATGTCAGAATGCATAATATACAAGTTAGAAAGTACGATGTACAAGTTAGAAAGCACGATGTAACGTAAGAAAGCAAGATGTAATTTTAGCATAAATAACCCTCCATAATCAGGTCAGTAACTGAGTATTTATGCATAGCATTATGTCATATTCGTCGTGTTCGTACATAATCGAATTATAACGGGAATTGCCGAGCAGTCTTTGATTGAATAGATTTTATAATACTGCACGTTTGTAACGTCATTTTTCATTGGATAATCGTGACGTCTATATAGTTTTATATACACGGCTGCTGTCGATTCATGAAGAAATCTTACTTTTTTCTCTAAAAATGATGTCTGCTGTATTATAAATTCGTTATAAAGATTGTTGACAGGTTATATGGCCATATATAAACGCCTGTTTGCAATAAAACCAACGTTATATAACCGAATTTTTTGTGTCTGTCAGACTAGACAGTTTTGACATTTAATTTTATTTTTTCTCAGAATCAGCTGATTTTGGCAGCAGTTCCTTCAGTTTTAAGCTGACACTGTGAACAAGAACCTGGGCCGTATTCATAAAGCATCTTAGTGAATAATTTCAACTTAGTGAAAAAAGACATTTTTTGACAAGTTGAATTTAAAATATCTAACGTGTGTACAAAATTAGTTTGAAAATAGGCAAGAAAATGTCCTAATTAATAAAAACACATTAAAAAAATTGTGGATGGTCACAGGTATTGGAAATAAGCCATTTCAAAATTTAAGAACTTTTCAAGAGGATGAAATATTTTAATAAGAAGTTTTTTATGGCCAAAGCACTTTGAACAATGTTGAACAACTGTTCTATTTTATAATTATTTTGTTGATGAAAAAAAAATTCTAAAACCATTGATTTGGAAATGTGCAACTTGTCATTGTCAGCTGGAAATATAATTTGACTACAGAGTTTCATTAATAGATATAAAAATTGGTTAAATCGTTTTGTATATTTTCTCCATCAGTGCAAATGGAAATTTTAAAACAAAGGGACGTAACTTTGTAAACTGAATCCGAACCTCAATACAGACTTTACCGAGAATATAACTGTAGCGCCACCTGTTAGCATAATTTGGGTGTCACATATTATTACACCAGATGTCGCGTTGTATTTTGCTTGCTGCATTCGGCTTTCGGCTATGCGCATTCTACCTTATGACATTCGTCGTAAATAGACCCAAATACAAACAGTTGCAGGTTAATTTATTGAATTAATATACCAGATCAACAAATGAATAATAATTGATCGTTAAATAACGACATCAACATAAAATTAAGCAAGTCGCACACAGCAGAAAGCATAATGTGCATGTAAGAAAGCAACATGTAAAAGTCAGAATGCAAGATGTATATGTCAGAATGCATAATATACAAGTTAGAAAGCACGATGTACAAGTTAGAAAGCACGATGTAACGTAAGAAAGCAAGATGTAATTTTAGCATAAATAACCCTCCATACTCAGGTCAGTAACTGAGTATTTATGCATGGCATTATGTCATATTCGTCGTGTTCGTACATAATCGAATTATAACGGGAATTGCCGAGCAGTCTTTGATTGAATAGATTTTATAATACTGCACGTTTGTAACGTCATTTTTCATTGGATAATCGTGACGTCTATATAGTTTTATATACAAGGCTGCTGTCGATTCATGAAGAAATCTTACTTTTTTCTTTTAAAATGATGTCTGCTGTATTATAAATTCGTTATAAAGATTGTTGACAGGTTATATGGCCATATATAAACGCCTGTTTGCAATATAACCCTCGCCTAACGGCTCGGGCTATATTTACAAATAGCCGTTTATATAGGACCATATAACCTGTCAACGATCTTTATAACTAATAATATACACGTATTAATATGTTTTGTATTTCAATTCTTTAGAAAAGTCTTATCATGTTTGATGATTATATAATTTCCAGTATAAACATTTTGCTGTCAGTGTAAAACGTAGCCGTATATCTATTTCACGTCAACAATTGAGCCGCGTCACGACAAAACCAACATAGTGGGTTTGCGACCAGCATGGATCCAGACCAGCCTGTGCATCCGCGCAGTCTGATCAGGATCCATGCTGTTCGCTATCAGTTTCTCTACTTGTAATAGAGTTG